GCTCGAGGTTTGTTCTTTTCTTATCAACCGAGAGGGCACTGATTGGATTAAGTGAATGTCGCAGATAAAAACGTCGAAGACGATTCAAAAATTCTCCTCACTTTCATGTCTTAGAGCTCCTAGATGTACTGCAACCCTTTTATTCATTTTCTCAGTTTTTTTATGTAGATCCTGTTACAGTCGTTGCTTCTCTCGGGCCGATTAAGTATCCAGCTAATCTGCTTTCCCAGGAAAACAGCCATTTAGAAGTAGATTCAGTAATCTTCATTGTCCAATGAAGGCTACTGATCAGACCATACTAGAAGTCATTTATTTAAACCTGTTCCTAATGTTCAAAATATGCCTCTCAACAGTTTAAGCCTACTGCCCTTCCATTTTATTCCAGACCTCTCTTGCAAAATCAAACAGTGTCTGGAGAACGAAGGTCTTTGAATCAAAATTGTGAGGAACTGAGAAGCGGAGGATTCTGGAATCGTATCCCACGTTTTCTGCTGGGACATTCACTTAGTCTGACGAATGTCATTTCGGTTGATGGAGAAAGAACAAACATGGGGTTATTAATCAGTTGCTCATCTTGCCTTAAAAATGCCAACTCTGTGGCGATTGTACCTACTCACAGAATTGGAGTGATAGCTGAAATGCCATCTGTAAGCATATCCGGAAGAAACAGTAATAGCATTACTATTACTCAAACTCCTTTCATCATTACCGTTGTTTTAATTGTGTAATATAACCCTGAAGGTGAATCTGATGTGCGATGAGGAAAGGCGAGTAAAGGAATATTTCAGTAAAAGAGTATTTCATCGTCTTTTTTAAACTCTTCCCTTGAGCAGTCGATTGAAATCAGTGGATCATCAATTCTCTTCAAAGCAGGCTACAAATGGATATTTCCTTTCACCTTATTTAATTTAATATGAGCTAAAATGTAAATTTTAGTTCATCAACCGTTTATTAAATGGTACAAATTAACATATCAAAAATATGAAAATAAAATAAAAAATAAAATAAAAATATGAAAATAAAATAAATTATCATAAATAATGGACTGAACAGGCCCTTTTTTATAATCCCGCTGATTTCAGTCTCTTCCTTTTACCATTATCAGATTATGTACTACTAATTTGATATTATGCACTGTCTTTTATACCCCGAGATTTCTGAGTCACATTTTCACACAGGATAGAAACTCATAGTACTTGTCAGTACCGATTCTTTATCTTACAATTTGAGGATTGTTCTGGTTGGTTATAGACCAGTGAGTCCCGGTCTTGTTTTTTGTTCATCGCCAGGTGAATGACATGAGAAGTTCTGGTA